CCGGGCCCCCCCGGGGGCACCAGGAGGGCCAGAACGGCCCTTTGCAGCACAGATAAGTCAGAACCAACCTCTAAAGCACCCGCGCCTGCGCGAAGGCCACCAGCCAGCATCAGAGCCACGCTAATTCAATTCATCTGCATCCAATTTGGAGGCAAAAAGAGATCAACTCAATTAAAGCGGCTTTAATTAAGAAGAAAAGCAGCAGCGTGGAGTCGTCTGCACCTCGTGCGTCGATGCACGACAGCCCACCTCGCTATCCGCCTTGGACTTGTGTGGGTCTCACCAATCCCACCCTGGGCCTGGTGGCCCTCCAGGTGCACCAAGGACAGGGCAAAGGCCACGCGCGTTGTCCTGGTCGGCTCCAATGCTGGGATGACAGGGCAGTGAACCAAGGTCTGGAGGGCTTTTGGCTTTGCTGTTTCCTACAGGAAAACTCTGCAGTAAATACGAGCCACTGCCACCACGATGGGCTAGAATGCTGGGATGACAGGGCAGTGAACCAGGGTCTGGAGGGTTTTTGGCTTTGCTGTTTCCTATAGGAAAACTCTGCAGTAAATATGAGCCACTGCCACCACGATGGGCTAGAAATGCAAGGGCTGGAAGTGATGGGATGGAAAAGGAAAGGCAGAAAGCCTAGCACTGAAGGAAAAAAACAAGCTCGAATTTAATCTAAAATCAGGATAACAAGGGCGTCAGCCTAATGAGCCCCTATATTTCACACCTGAAGACCTACCATGGCCCTGCAATGCGAAACCCTGCGCCACGTCTGCGCGCATCCCTCTCCACAGCAAGTGTTGAAGCTCTCTGAAGAGCTGGAGCCAGACCTCCTGCACGGCCCCAGCGGAGGAGATTTAATTCCAAACACATTTACATTATTATGCAAATATTTGGAAATCATCAGCTCCTTCACTTACCTGCGCAGAGCTAAGTGTTTCCATAGGAACAGCAACTATTAACCACTACAGTTAATATTTTTATTCCAGTAGTGTCCAGAGGGCCCAAAAAACATTGAAGACAGCTTGTACAAGGCGCTGTACAAGCACAGAGGAGGGAAAAGTCTCTTGCTGATAGGCAAAGATTCATGTTCTGGGAGCTTCAAAGAGCCTCCAGTTCTATCTGGAGCTGCAAACACAAGGCGAATTCACTCGCAAGGAGCCCAGGGGCTCCCACTACAACCTGTAACCAAACCAAGAGTTCAGCTTACATCTATCCCTTAATTCCCGCTGGATTTTATGGTCAGGTTTGCTACCTCAACCCTGCTCACACAAGATCAACCCGGTTCACAGAAGATCAGAAAGCTCCTGCATGCCTCTGGTCTGCAGGAAAACGAGGAGGTGTGTGTACAAAATGCACAGATTTTTTTTTGACTCCTGTATAACAAGGGTCTCGTTTACCCGGCTAAGCCCCCTTTCCTGGTGCAGAAAAGCAAAGCTCTATGAGACAACGCATTTCTGGGTTCCTACGGTGAGAACTGTGCAACTCGTGACACTGCTGGGTCCCAAACGCTCCGTCCCGGGGAGGTCCATGAGGTTTCTTCCTGCACCCCGGGACCCCCCAAGGCAGGAGCTGCTCAAGCACCGCAGGTGGGAGCTGCACGTCGCTTCCCCCGTTTTGGGTAAGTGCCCGTCCTGCTGACGAGGGTTTGGGAGGAGCGCGAGGGCTCCCGGGCGCGGAGGGGACGCCCCGTCCCCGCGCGCCGCGCGGGCTGCCCGGTGCACGCGCTGAAAGCCGCGGGGCAAACACCTCTCTGCTGCAAAAGCCGTGCAATTTTAAACGACTGACGGGACTGCAGGAATGTGTTTGAATAATAACAAGCGAAAAGCACTCCAATAAATTACAAATTCTGAACAAACGTGACCAATCCCACTCCCTTTTGCTGCTGAACAGAAATGAAGGGTGCCAGAAGGGGTGAATTCACACAGGGGCAACTGGGGTGCACGTCCTCGATCGGTATTTTGCTCTTCTACCCTTTCAAAGGTCTGGAAATAAACACGGATAACTCCATCTATAAAAAATCCCAATGCCATGTTCCGCCTTGCTACCAACTGCCGGGGCTGCCTGCTCGCTTCCTCCTCCGGAGGTCCAGCAGAGGCATTTTCTGACACTTTCTTAGCATGTTTTGCTTGAAACATAAATGCAGCCTTGCAAAAACTACAGCCACAGCCTTGCCAAATGCCACCTGCCCCCCAGCACAGCGGGACGGAGGGGCTCCAGTCCAGCCTGTTGGCTCCACGGAAGATGCCCGAACTGGAGAAGTTTGGACGACATCTACCCAAACGTCTTAAGCACCACGAGCAAAGCCCATATGGACAGCACTAACCCAAGCAAAGGCAGAAATTAGGGCAACGGATGTTCCAAAAATGTCACCGAGCGCGTAACCCGGATACCCACCTTGAACACAACCTCCCAGAGACTCTTGGGGAAGAGGGAATGGCTGGAGCATCCAAAGCAAACCCACATTACTTGTCTCCTGCAAGGGGCCACCCCAGCTCCGGGACAAGGACGGGCTTCCTGCCTGGTGTCCCAAAAGAGGGGACAGCTCTTTGGTGCCATATGCCCAAATCTAGCAGGGGTGGGGAGGATGGGAAATCCAGCAGGGCTCACACCATCCTTCCAATCCTTCCAAATCAAAATCCATGCACGTTTGCAGGAGCAAAGAGAAGGTCTTACCTGTTTCTCCCCATATTGGCAAATATTCATCCTGCTGTATGTCCAGCATGATTTCCAGTCCATTGCCTGTCCCACCCTTAACAGTGGTAAGAAGAGGCCGTCCTTCTTCTCCTGAGTTAAACATGTAGCATTTCCCGTATTTTGTAAACACCTGAGAGGAGAGAGAAGAGAACATGCCATAAAACACATCTGCCTTCCCACGCGGCAGCGTGCCGCTCCGAGGGCACGTCGGGAGGCCAATCTGACCCAGTTTAATAATTCAGTGTGTTGTGGTCTCCTTACAGGAAATACGGGATGTGAGGGAGGGAGGGAAAGCTGTTGTAGAGCCACGTATAAGTGTCCTCAGCAGCGGCTCCTGGCCACCAAGGGGCCACCAAGGGGCCACCATCCAAACAAAGGGGTCGTTTTTACGGCACCGGGCACCCCATCGACGGGCATCGCTCGTGTCTCCTGCTTCCCACCCAAGGGCAGCAAGGTGCACGGTGCTTGAGCTCCCCCAGCACCAAATCGCAACATCCCCTTTGCTCCTCCTGCAGCCACGGTCCTGGAGAACAAACAGGACTGAAAAACAACCCGGAAATGAGGGCAGACTTCCTCGGAAACTTCTGCTCGTTCTTTAGCGTCGTTTTGGCTCCTGTCCTGAAAGGAACTCTGGAAAAAGCCTGGATGGGGCTGTCAGGATAATGACAGCTCTGCAAAGGGTTCCAAAGCAGGGGGGACTCGTGCAGAGATGTGACATCTTTGATACGGTGGCACTGATGGTCTCAAACAGTGGCAAGCCCTGCATTTGCCCCTTCCCCAAACCCCAAGGGCATCTCCAGCCCCCCAGGCTAACAAAGCAACTCCTTCACCCTGCACTCAGCTATAAGGATCCTGTGGAACCCTTTCCCCAGAGAAGCAGAAGCTAAAAAAAGCAAGTGGAGACACTGCAAGGATCACACGGGTCAGCAGCCGGGGCTCTGCCACAGCTCGCTGCCTCCAACAGGCTGAAAACACCGAGACTTGCCAACAGCGTGTCGGGAGGAACTCATCCCGCTGCAGGCCACGGAGAAACCCCCGACGCCAACACCAAGCACGAAACGCGGCGGAAAAGCTACGGCGGGACGTGAAATAATCACACTTGAGTTAAACGCTCCAACAGGAGCAAAGGGGACGTGGCGAACACGAAATGCTTGCAGGGGAAAAAAATTGCCCTTTTAAAAAGATTTTATCCAAGTGAAAATCCCTTTTTAATACACAACTGACCTATTAAACCACTCAAGCTGGAAAGATAATCTGAACAACAGTAAGCCTGTGCTAGCAGCCAGTGCCCACAGATAGGTTTAGCCAGATATGCTTTGGAGGCAGAAGTAAAAAATTTCTAATTAGGGTAGTTTAAAATACTGCAAGAAGAAAACCTGCCTTTAGTGCAAATCATGGGAAAATGAGCAAGATTATATCTAAAGTAACAGCACACTGGAAATGCTGAATAAGCTGCTGATACACCCAGGCCAGGCTTGAGACAAATCAGTTCGGGCAATTTTATAAGTTTTTTTTTTATATTCTTCTTTGCAGCTATCAAATTTTGGTATAAAACCTCCAGTTAAGGGTGTTTGTCCATCAAATGATGTGAAACGAGGCGGGTTTGGGGCCTCCTTCTACAGCGTTTCTGGGAGCTCCCATCCCAGAAGAAGAAAGCGCATGGAGGAAGGGAAGGAGGAGACCCCCCCATCCCTGCGCTCCCCAGCTCGGCATCTGCTCCTGGGAAACGGCGAGGCCGGGACGCGCCGAGACGCAGGTTCAATACGGGCACTGGGGACATCGTCTGCCGCTCTCCAAGGGCTCCCCACGCAGTTTTCCAAGGAAGCTGCTCTGCAGGGCCGTCACCAAGCCCCAGCCCTCTCCAAGGCTCTTGTGTGTATCCACCCTTGCCAACCCGGCGCTCATGTACGCGCATCCGCAGGGAACGCAACGCGTCCGCGTGCCGGCGCTCCCGGCCGGCATCGCGCTCCCCGTGAGACCATCCCCAGGGCTGGGGAGAAACCAGAGACGCAGGAAAACCAAGGAGGCTGAAGCAAGGATGGAGCAACGGGAGCCTTTCCCGCGGGACAGGGCTGCTCGCGGGATGCTTTGGAAGGCCGCACTAATCCATGGATGAGAGCGCAGCCTCCGGGTGGCCTTCCGCAAGGCTGAGCCCTGTTCCCGGCAGGAGGAAGCGCAAATACACGGAACAAAAACAAACAACCAACAAAAAGAGCAGAATTCAGTGGATTCGCTGTCCTACTACCCAGCTTGTTTCAGTTCTGTGATAATATAACAGGGATTTGGAACGATTCAGAACACTACGAAATTATTAGGATGAAAGAATATAGATTTTTTGCAAAGGGTACCTCTGGTATTTCTCAGCTGCCACGGTACAATTGAGACAGTAAAGGAACAGCAACACACAGTGATTTAACCTCAGCGCATTTGTTTTAGGGGATAGCAACACTTCTGGTTATTATTAATCTTTTAACTTGAAATGCAAACAGGGTTCGGCATAAACCAGGAAAAAAACATTAAAAAAAACCCAGAAACATCTACCTTGAGAATAACCTGTACAATTTCCCAATTTTTATCTCTGATGGATCACTAGTTACTTTTGACAGCTCATCTGAAAATCCATGCTTAAGCGCAAAGGCAAACATGTTTTTAAACTTGTGGGATGCCATTTGAATGACAAAACGATCCCCGTGTTAGCGCCTAAAGGAAAAAAATGCACATCCCGTGAAATTAGAAAGCAGCGCAGAGGTGTCTCCAGCACGCTGGCTGCACAAAGCACAAGATGGCACCTCAAAAAGCTCAGCGCGACAGATGCGGATCCTGCTGTGTGTCAAACCAAGAGTTCCTCAAAAAAGCCTGATATTGAAAATGCGACTGAGCCTGACTGGAATAATAGAGGAAAAGGTATTTCACTGTTTAGAGTCAGTGTACACAAGACGAGAGCATCTGCTGATAAATTATGCTTTCAACATGGAGCAAAATGATGGTAAAAGCAAGTAATTGAAGTCTGTAAATTACTTGTCGAAATCCAGACAAAGACGCAGACTAGAGCTCACCTACAAGGCAAGACACCATTTGTTTGATTAAGGTGCTAACCATTGAAAAGCAGGCAAATTAGCATCCTTCACAATCATTTTCTCCACAACTGAGGGGATGCAAAGGTTTAGAGACATGTATCTCATCAAGCTGCTTTCAACAGCGCGGTGGACAAAGGAGCGGAAAGGAAGATGAAGGAACTTTCCAGAGCCAGATGAGGGAGATGCTTTCCAGAACAACCGAGCAAATCCATTTGGCGCTAGGAATGGGGATCAGCTCACCTCCCTCTCATGACACAGACCCTTGGGAAAACCGTGGTGTCACCTACCTCGAGACCATTCTCCAGCACCTTGGAGATGCACTGCACTTGGAGATTTCTCTGCAGAATTTCATGGCCGTTTGGGTTCTACAGACACCATTTTCCTCTGTCTGAACCAGATTCTTCTTCTAGGACCCATCGCAATAGGACCCATCTTCTAGGACCCATCGCAATCAAACCCCCAAAGGTGCTGAGGACCTTTTGGTTTGTAAGGAGACCATGAGAGGCAGGAGTTCTCATAACTATATTCTGCAGACTCAGTCGTCTCCTCAGGGTTTTCCCCCAACGATGTGTTACAGCTGAAAGCAAGACTGAGAGGAGATAAATGGAGATAGAGTTGTGCAGGAACCCATGCAAGGTAACAAGAAAGGATCTGGTTCAGGAGGAAAAATCCTGATTTTGGGCTTCTCATGAACGCACAATAAATATATTCCCACAGCTTGCAGCTCTGAGCTCGTCCGCGGCACCCGCGTGGCATCGAGCCATGTCGTTATTTCACGCGAGGTGCTGGGAACAGCACAGTCCAGTTGGCTCGATACCGGTGCATGAGGACAGTCCATTTGTTCACACGGCAGCAGGAGGGAGCGGAGCATCATTTAGAATGAAATGATCTCTGTGAACAGCGAATCACAACCCATACCTGCAATAAACGGGTTCCTGAAGCGCCAAATCCCAAGCGGGTGGCTTTCCAAATGAGAACCAGACAGCTCGGGGAGAAGATAACTCACACCTAACCAGCAGAAAGAGCTTCCTCTCCCTCTCAGAGATGAGGGAACAGAACAGAATTAAATTCGGGACTGTGTAACGGCTCTACATTTCTGCATCCATCAAGGGTGTGTAACAAGAGATACCAATACTTGGTAGATAGATGGAGAGGCCAGCAAGCGAAAGAGGTGAAGTTGGCCAGGCAGCCTATTAGAAACCAACAGGACTGAGTGTTTTTCGCCTCCCCAGGGTACACCAACATCCCTCCAAACAACAGGCCAAAGTCACAGAGCTGGTGCAACATCCTGCACCAACGGCCACCCCAGCCCATGCTGGGATGCACAGACTCAGGAGGCAGCACCATTCCCGATGTCCCACACGGGAAAATGCGTGGACCAGCGACCCCCAGCAGACTGGGTACCAAAATGAAAGGCAAATTTGTGCCCGAAACTGCCACTTTGCTGGACCTTGACCACTCTGCCGACCCAAACTTGCCTCTAGCACGTTGTAGAACAGGATCCGAGAGCAGCGTCCCAGAGCAGGGGCTGGTGACAAGGAGTGACGTGTCTGGGGAGTCCCGTGGGTGCCAGCAGATGGGCAGGGGAGGTGAAAGACTGGCCAGCTTCTGGGATGGCCCTGAGAGCCACAGGAGACGACTAGCAGTGACCTTGAAATGCTGACTTCCCACCCAGGTATTCCTGGTGGAGGATGACGCACTTGGGACTCACAAAAACACCTGGGGAACATGAAGAGCTGCAGACCTTGGCATCCAAAAGGTGATCTGGTTGAGCACCTGAAGAAACTGTAAAGCAAGGTACTGCTCTTTCAAGCATCAGCATAAACTAGGTGGCAAAATGCATCCAGACAGCACATTTTGGGACCTTCTTCCCTTCCAAGAGTCACCATGGGTTGCTCTTTAAATCTGGACTTGTTCTGTATCACTGGAAACCCGGCACACAAGTCAGTCAGACAAGCAAAACATTATCCATCCTTCACATTGCGGGTTTAACCTCGCAGCGGGGAGGCGCGCAGGGGCCGGGGCCATGGAGAGCGGAGCC